CGCCGACACTCTCCGACACGCGATCAACGCGGTGTCGAATTTTCGATACGCGGTCAACACTCCGGACACGCTCCCGACACGCGAGCCCGGAATCATGACACGTGATTCCGACACGCACGGGTCCATTTTATAAATTTTCAAAAAATTAGGGGTCAAAATGTAAATTTACAAAAAAGATTTAAAAAAAAAGAGAGAAAAAATAAAAGTAGAAGAAAAATGGCTTAAACAGAAGCTAGGTCTTCGTTTCCTCTGTCTTCTTCACTCGACCACGACCTCCCACTCAAACTCTCTTCTTTCTGTCGACCACCAATCCACCGCGCGAGGCTCTCTCCACGCCGGTCGCCGGTCGCCGCTGCAGCCGAGTAACAGCCTAACGCGTACACCTCTCTCTCTCTGTTTCTTCTGAATGCCCTCTCTCTGTTTCTGCTGATTGCCTGGTCACGGGGCTCTGGTTTTTTTATCATTTGTCTTGTGGGGGAGGGTGGGGGGAAGAAGGAAGGGGGAAGGGTGGGTGGGTCGCGGGTGGGTCGCGGGGGAAGAAGGAAGAGGGGGGAGGGGGGAAGAAGGAAGACGTCGAGAGTGCTAGATCATCCTCTTGACTAGGCATATTGCAAAATTTTTAGGGCAGATTTAATTTTATTACAGACACGGCAAACCAAAACGATCTGAGAACAGTTAATAAATTACCTGTATTCTATCAAAATCAAGACTAAACGAAAAATCGGGTAATGGTGGATTTTCTAGGCTCTTTTTGTATTATTTATTTATTTGTAGATTTGAATTAAAAATGATAATTTGTTATGTATATATAAAAATATATATTTAATAAACGTGTCCGAACGTGTCGGAATTCTTTATTTTTTGAGAAATGACGTGTCGCGTGTCGTGTCGCGTGTCGGTGTCGGTGCTACATAGGTTTTATAAGGGCAATGGCTTCAAAGATAATTCATTGAAGATCCCCAAGGGTAAATAAGAAAGCATGGAAGGAACAATTGGAATGGTGTATAGGACAATTTACTTGGGGGACACACAAGGATAAGTATCTCTGGTTGATTGGTTTACGTGGAACTGATATTGTTCTTATATTTGTTTGATTGAGAGGATGGAGACTCAGAGGGAAAACTTGGTAATAGCTTTTTCACTTTCAAGCTTTTGCAGTTACTGCAATTGTAAATATATGTCGTCCATTAGTGCATCATCAATTTCTTTTATCACAATGAAACTGATAGATTGTCACATGTGCACACATATTCGCAGTTTTTCTTTTGGCTTTTGTGGGTGCAATTACAGATATTGCGAGATTTTATTTTATCATGTATATTTGTCCATTCAATTTTTCTTTTTTAGATTTGAGTAAGTGTATTCTTTCTCTTTTCCTACGAATTGTGGTACATGAATTCTCTGATTGTGAACTGATCCTGTTTTAAATTTCTTTAGTGGGTGCATGATATTGATCCGTCATTCTTTTTCCCCATACTTCGAAAGTAATGATTTGCCTCTTTCGTGTTTCCAGCATGATTCCAAGTATTGGAACCAAAACCGAGTTGTTAAAATCTCTTGTGATCTCCACGGGACCTTTTAGTCGGAATCCGCATATGTCTGGTTCTTATCAATGCAAGATTCCCTTAGACTTAACCTCAAGGAAGTTTCTGCTGCTACCAATGAATTATGTAGGAACACAAGCTAGAGCACGCGCAAAGAATATTTTTAGGAAGTATAGCATAAGTGCAAAAATGGCTGAAAGTCTTACATACAAGGATGCCGGTGTGGATATAGATGCTGGTTCAGAGCTTGTTAGGAGAATTGCGAAAATGGCCCCTGGAATTGGAGGCTTTGGAGGTCTTTTCCCTCTTGGTATGATATCCTAGACCTTTATACTTTTGATGCTTGTTTAGTTAGATTCTTTCTTCTTCTTTTTTCTGTTGGTGAGAAGTTTAGTTAAACTCTAATTGGCAGAACAAGGCAATCCGTTATGTATTGTGGTAAACTCCAATTGATGTTCCAGCTCAAGGAGAATAGTTATGACCGGGTTGAACTCCTTTGAAAGAATGCTATGTGCTAGATCATGGCAGGAAAAATTTGATTAGATGTTGTTATTTATATAAAGTTCATTTGAAGCTTGTACAGACTAATGGTGCCATTTGTGGTTGTAAGTAGAGCATTTCGGCTTCAATTATTTTTATTATGGAATGTAGGCGCACGAAGTTCAGAACATGTTAAATGGTTATAATTTTTCTGTCATAAGCAATAAGATTACTGGTTTCTGGAATTCCTTGATTGCCATTGGCTGGTTAAGCGGAACAGAAAATTATCTTGGGCTCTCCCTCCATCAGGAAAGAAAGGACATATAGAAAACTTGACGTTATATGCTAGCTGGATAGTACATCAGTTGTGGTAGAGGAAGTCCTTAGTTTCTACACACTCGAGTGGTTATCCCCATTTGTACTTCTTTTCACGGAGGCTTCCGAGCACACATGAGGATATACCTCACTTCAGCCGTATCTACGCCATGAAAGATAATTCTAAATTATCTAATTCAATGATTGAATGTCCCAACTGTTTAATAATTTGTACTTAGTTCCTTGTTTCTGAATAAACTGGTCTTAGAACAGCCGGTTCATGAACATGTTTATGCTTCTCATTGTAATTAATTTGTTCTGAGGCATAGATTTTACTTAGACTCTCAATTGCGTATTCTTGTTGAGCTTGTTTTTGTTGTGGTTAAACTTGGATGGCAGTTGTTTCAAGATAATGTGTATTTGCATGTAGGTTTTTTACTAGTTAATAATTAGTTTTTCATGAGCAGGGGATTCGTACCTTGTAGCTGGTACAGATGGTGTTGGGACTAAATTGAAACTTGCATTCGAAACTGGGATCCATGAAACGATTGGAATCGACTTGGTATTGACCGGAAAAGATGATGATCTCTTACAAGCTATTTTTGTGTGTCTAACACTCTTATTTTAGGTCGCGATGAGTGTTAACGACATTGTTACTTCAGGAGCAAAACCTTTGTTTTTCCTTGATTACTTTGCGACGAGCCATCTTGATGTTGACCTTGCTGAAAAGGTAGCAGCTGATCTTGTATATCATAGCTGAATCCTAGAGCTGTTTAAGTTTACTTGAGTTAATACAGAGTTTATGCAGGTTATAAAGGGCATTGTGGATGGCTGTCGGCAAGCTGATTGTGCTCTTTTAGGAGGAGAGGTAATTGCATGCTTTATGTTTCATTTTATGCTACTAATTGTAATCCTAGACACCTTTGGTCGGAATTTGGAGGTCACTTCTTTTCAGCAGCTAAGCAATTTCAAGGGCGAAGTGGGAGATTGTAGGACTTAAGCAATTAAGTAGTCCAATAGATTTCACTATTGAGCTGTTGTTCTTGTTTTGGTGAAAAGAGAGCTGTTGTTCCTGTTGGCTTTCGCTACTATGTAATTTGGCGTTCTGTCTCCTTGGAAGGGTTTGTTGTATCTTTTCTTCATTGTGTGCCACGCAAAAATAAAGAAAAAATTGTTGACTTACAGAAAGGGTGTTTGAAACTGCATGATTACTTGATTTTCGATGCTGTATGAAACTAACATAGTCAATGTGCCATCCAGACTGCAGAAATGCCCGATTTCTATGCGGAAGGTGAATACGATCTCAGCGGCTTTGCTGTTGGCATAGTGAAGAAGGATTCAGTTATAGATGGAAAAGACATTGTTGCTGGTGATGTGCTCATTGGCTTGCCGTCAAGTGGGGTGCATTCGAACGGTTTCTCTCTTGTCAGAAGGTTAGTTTCATCTTGACCCAAGTATGCTCACGAGTGCCCTCTCATTCTATGATCTTAATTTGCTAATTTCTTTTCCAGAGTTTTGGCCCGAAGTGGTCTTTCCTTGACAGACCAGCTTCCTGGTGAAGCTGTGACGGTAGGTGAAGCTTTGATGGCTCCTACTGTTATTTATGTCAATCAGGTATCTCTCTTTCTTTCACTCTCTGATATATTTCCTCAAAAATGTAGCTGGAGTATTAAGACTAAAGCAAAATATATGAGCCAATTACCACCCTAATCATAGCTGTTGTTGATGTACAGGTTCTTAACCTTATCAACAAGGGAGGTATCAAAGGATTAGCCCACATTACTGGTGGTGGGTTTACCGATAACATACCGCGTGTATTCCCAAAAGGCCTTGGTGCCACCATCTATGGCGACTCCTGGGTGGTTCCTCCACTGTTTAAGTGGATTCAAGAGGTTGGTTTCCGTTTTGTTCTAGGCTGGAATCTTAGGTTAAGGGAAAGAGCCTGCTCAAGCATTGTATATGATATCGTAGAATGTAGTCAAGCTATTGCTAGCTCTTCTTAGTAACTTAGAAGGTTGAATACATGCTTATGTGGTTTAGTGATTTCTTCTCCTCTATTAGGTGGGAAACATAGAAGATTCTGAGATGAGGCGGACCTTCAATATGGGCATTGGGATGGTTTTGGTGGTTAGCCCTGAAGCTGCCCTTCGGATGCTGGGCGATAATGAGATAACGGCATATCGCATTGGTGATGTGGTTAACGGCGAAGGGGTGAGGTACTGCTAAGAAAAATTCTGTACCCTTCTAAGATATATTGTATTTTTCATCATTGTATTATAGTGAATGAGTTATACATTGATGTAAGGCCCTTTTTTTCCCTACTAGATGTGCATGATTGACTTGTGAAAAGATCAAGGAAACTCTGGTTTTGGTAAGAGGGGAATTGTAGTTGTGCTGAATCTTTTCAAATCAATTTTAATTCTCGAGCTGAATTTTGATCTTTACATGATGCAGTAATTTTTTTGAATGCCTTGGGGGTTGGAACCCAAAGAGCATGTACAAAACCTGCAGAAGAGTTACTTAGCTGATGCAGAATGATTTTTTCCCTGAAGTTCTCTCTATTTGCATCATATGCTATGACATTTGAGTCGTTCTGGTTGTTTTCCTCTTAGCATAGAAATTAGTCACATACCAATCAGGCAACTTAGTCATATGGGACTCTGCAATTTTGTGGAAAAAAGCTGTAGAAAAGAATGAACAAAACTTTCGTGAACTTTGCACTATTTACAAAGTGCCGCGACTCTACAAAAATGCATTGACAATAATGGAATTTGGTGCAAAAATCATTAATGCTGAGCGGGGATTAGCTCGCACTTCGGTTTAGCATCTCATTGTACTGAAGGTATGAAATTTGCCTTTGCAGCTTCATCTGTTCGTAGATCTTGGCTATGAACTCCTCTGCTCGTGTCAATCCCTTGCTCTTCCTCAATTTCCATTCTTCCATCCTCCTCCTCGTCAAAACGAGTTTCCTCTTCGCCTCCATTTTTGAGGAAGCTCTTCCTCACCGCGTCGTACCCGTAGCATAGCTGGTCGTCATCGTCAAACTCCGGATCGAAATCGACTTGAGGGTTTTATGCACGGGATGTGTGGCAAGTGAAACAGCATCGACCCCGGATGTTGCATCCTCACGTGGACAACCAGGGTCTTCTCGAAGGAGAGCTCGCGCTCTCCATACCAGATGTGGCTGCACGGCATCGCCTGGTCGATTGTCTTGAGGAACTTGGGCACAAGGTGGAGCTGCAACTTGAACGCCCCCGCCTAGAGCAGCGCTGTGCGCAAGAGGCTCCACGCGCTGCGAGAAGCACTAGACGACTTCCTCAGCATTTTTTGACTCTCCACTTGAGTAGTGTTGCTTTGAGAAAGTACCGCAGTTGCAAAAGATGAATGAGAGAAGATGAAAAGAGTGTGTGCAGAGCTCTTTATGTTTAGGATGATCTGAGCGAATGAGCGGAGTCATAGTAAGTGTTTATATATAGGGTTAATACCACGAAAAACCCTAAACTGGTACACTTGTGACACATTTACCCCAAACTATTTTTTTGACCATAAAAAATCCCAAACTAGTACACCTGTGACAATTTTACCCCGAACTATTTTTTTGACCATAAAAACCCCAACCTGTACATCGTGACAATTTTACTGAACTTACCACAAAAAACCCAAACCCAGTACATATGTAACAATTTTACTCGAATTAAAATTTTAATTTTATTATTTTATTTTTTTTAGAATTTTTATTTTTTTCCTTTTATTTTTTTTTTCTTTATCTTCAACCTCTGGCCGGTCGCCGGTCCGGCGACCGGCCAGAGGCGGAAGCCGGCAAGGGCTGCCCTCGCCGGCGTCGGACGAGGGCCGTCCTCGCCGGTATCGGGCAAGGGTTGCCCTCGCCTACATCGGGCGAGGCCGTCCTCGCCGGCGTCGGGCGAGGCCGCCTCGCCGGATCTGGGCGAGGGCGACCCTCGCTGCGTCGGCGAGGTTGCCCTCGCCGGCGTCAGGCGAGGGCATCTCTTTGCCCGGAGCAAGAAGCGAGGGCCGCCTCGGCCCCGCCTTGGCGAGGACGGCCCTCGCCCCGAGTCGGGCGAGGCGGCCCTCGTCGGCGTCCCGAGGCGAGGGCGGCCCTCGTCGGCGTTAGGCGGGGACGGCCCTCGCCCGACGCCGGCGAGGGCCGCCCTCGCTAGATCCGGCGAGGGTCGCCCTTGCCTAGTCGAGTGAGGGCGGCCCTCGCCGGATTTCGCCTCTGGCCGGTCGCCGAACCGGCGACCGGCCAGAGGTTGAAGTGAAGAAAAAAAAAGAAAAGAAAAAAATTCAAAAAAATAAAAAAATAATATTAAAAATTAGTTAGGGTAAAATTGTCACATGTGTACCAGTTTGGGGTTTTTTGTGGTATGTTCGGGGTAAAATTGTCATAGGTGTACCAGTTTGGGGTTTTTTATGGTCAAAAAAATAGTTTGGGGTAAATGTGTCACAAGTGTACCAGTTTAGGATTTTTCATGGTATTAACCCTTATATATATGGATGGGAATTCTGCGTGGCACGCGGTGTTGTGGAGAGAAAGAGTGGTTTGGTGTGGGGACGTAAATGGTGGGCGGTGGGATCTTGCGAGCAACACGCTGTTAGCTGTACTTTGCTGTTAGAAGTCCCTTCGTTACTCTTTCCTCTTCTTCTCATGCGAGATATCGAAATTCTTCGACTCGATTGATCTTGATAACAGCCAGTTCACATGCGTCGGATAAATTTCGCCGACAGGGTCTCCAGCGTGCTCTCAAGGTTACTCCAAGTGAAAGTCATTTATTTGAGTGCATCATATGCCGTATCTATGCTTAGGGATTAATCACTTGATCCTCGGCTCTTTAAAGAGTCGCCAAAGAGCAATTTTTTCACTATCAGTATCGTGTCGACGAGTGCCCCCCTAAGGGCACCGGTAAAACAATCAATCGAGCAAACTTTACATTTTCAATATATTGATAATTTTTGTAGTATACGCAATTAATCGCGTTTTATATTTTGGAAACTACCGAGCCTTTATTTTGTCAGAAAATTCTTCTCTGTTTTTTTTTCTTTTGTATGATTTTCTGTTGACACCTAATTTTGCCCCGCCGCGATTAATTCAGGCTTGATTAGTAAATGGGCCAAGTTAGTGCAAAAGAGAGATAAAACTAAAATTAAAATAAATAAAGTATATATATATCGGACCAATCTAGCCCAACCCATCAGCCCTAGTTCCGATCATTTTCTTTTTCTTAAGCCCAACTTCGGACCGACGCGTGTGTGGCTTTCACGCGCTAGCAGCGCCAGCGCTTAGGGCGCGTGGCTCCCACGCGCCGCGGCTTCTGGCCGCGCGTGTGGGCGTCTTCCGGCGGCGTTCGACCCGCCATTCTGCTCATCTCGACGAGTTCTTCAACTCTGTATATTAATATCTCATTTTTTACTGAAAATAAATATTCGATACAGGGTCAAAAAGAACGGCGTTCATCCTCCAAAACCCGTTCGTCGCGTTCGATTTCATTTTCGACGATTCATGTTGCAATTTCCGAGCAATGAACATCCAGACAATATGAATTCTCTCGATCCCCATATCAAATAACAAGCAAAAAAATTCAACGGAAAAACAAGGCAGAGATCATAACCTGGCTCTGATACCAATGTTGGAAGCGAGTGTCGGGAGAATCGACTAACCTGTTCGATGCACTACGAACAAAATTTCCAGGATCGTACGTTAAATCACCAGCAAACGATGAACGATTCTACTTCACGTTGGTCCAAATACAATCACAAGGAAAGTATTCTCGTTCCACAGCGTTAATGTCGATTGTCTTCTCAACGTAGATACGGAATCCTTATGCGTCGAGAGGGAGAGAGAGTTCTAATTATCTCTTATTCATTGTTCATTATGAGGAAGTTATCTTCCCTTAAGAAACTCCCCTCGTACTTCTTCAAAAGGTGTCTTTCAGACACACTTATAATTAGAGCAAATGGTATCCCTTGGACACGCTCATCATGGGCGGACCGACGAAATATAACAACATTAAATATGCATGACGGCATCTTACGAAAATCTTTGCCCAGTTTATTTTATTTGTGCACTTTTCCAGGACGAGCACGAGTCGATAACAAAGCAAAGAGAAACTTCGAGCTCCCCGATCACATGGAAGGAATACAAATCAATTCCTTTTACTCTTCTCAAGTATGCCCCCTAGCTAAATGGTCATGGTTCTTCAGTACAATCAGTAAAACAGTACAGTCTTGCTGAACCATTGCTGTTCAACAAACAGGTGATCCATGAATCCTTAAGGTTGGGAAACATCTCGCCGGGATTGTTTCGGAGGACGAAAACCGAAGTGGAATGGAACGGTAATTTATCTCCACATGACATTCAATTCATGTTGCTTTGTACTTGCATCGAATGAAAATGACAATATCGACTGGTTGTCAAACTGCAGATTCAGATCTAGCACTATATGACGATTAGAGTTCTTGCAGGATACACAATTCCCGAGCGCTGGGGAGTATTGATAGCAACTTCCGCTCTTCACTTGAATCCCGAGACGTAAAAAGACCCTCTTACGTTCAACCCATGGCGCTGGAAGGTGAATTGTGAATAGAAAACCCTCGTGCAATGTCGCCGTGATCGGTTTCAATTTGAGCTCCATCAAACTTGGTACATTTGACAGTAGTTCCGCCTTTTTCAATTCCAGGAATACGATTCAGATGTGATGCTGAAGAACTTCATGCCTTTCGGATCGGGGATGAAGCAGTGTGCCGGAGCGGAGTACGCGAGGGCCTTTCTGTCGACATTTCTCCATGTTCTGGTCATGAAATATAGGTACTCGCCTTACCCTATTCGATACCAACGGCCCGCAAAAGATCATGCGGCTCTAGGTACGTGAGTTAAGCAATCTAAAGCCACACGATTCCTGAAAGTTTCTCTTCTTTTGCAACCTGATCAGATGGACGAATGTGAAGAAAGGCGAAATTCGACGGAACCCGATCCTGAGCCTCGGCGATGGCTTGCACATCAAGATCATGGAGAGACAGAAGTGAAAATTTGTTCTTGCTGTCTGGTGTGATCTCAACTTTGTTCTTATGAGAGAAATAATTCAGGCCATGTACTTTCAAACCTCCCAATATATACAATCGGTTTCTTTAAAAAGTAAAATTTTGACATTCCAATCTCCTTTTTTTTTGGTAGTAAAAATAAAGTGACGGGATTCGTTATATAGTTTTGCCATAAATTTTGTAAAATGCCCTTATCGAAAAACTTTGCCTACTATTCATATTGAAATTTGGGATCCCTCAAGATGAATTTTTTCGTTGAGCGCGGGTCATGTTTCTAGTAATTATTTTATGCTAGTTACGAGCCATACTTTGCATAGAGCATACCTTAATATAAGTGTTTTCGCATATGAGCATATTTTTAAAAGGCTCAATCTCGATTCTCGTCTTAATCTCGGAATCACCGGGATGTAAAACTTTCAGAAACTATTCTCTCTCCCTAGGGAATACAAAGATACAAAGGTAATTGGAGGTGCTAGGCGTGCAGGCATCGGCATGCTAAATTAAGGAACGCATCCTTGAAGCCCGCCCCATAAGATGAGGACAGGCCTCGTCAAAGGCGAAAGCTCCCTGCCGTTGGTGAGGTAGGCTATAGTTTAGTGGTTAAGAGGTTACCTCTTAAATATTTTATGCTAGTTATAAGCCCGCGCTTTACATAGGGCATACCTTGGTATAAGTGTTTTGTAGGTATATGTTGGCATTGCTACATCTTATTTTTATCTGTGTTAGCATATAAGTATTGTCACCTATAATCTTGAGGATGTTGACATTTTTAGTATTTTTATAAGCTTGTTGGACCTAAATCTGTGCCCAAATACTCAAAAAGAACTTATTTTATGAAGCTGAATGTAGGAAAAAAAGGGAAATGCTTAAACTTAAATATACAAAATGAATTATGTTAGTTTTCAAAATTAGGTACTTGTTTGTTTCGCTTTCCGATACCAACATCCTGAAAATAAACACCATTTGGTTTCATTGAATCCTAAAATCTTAAGTGATATAATTTTCTCATCAATCTGCAATATGACCGGATGGATAGCTGTCCAGAAAGGTGAAACATGCCGAACTCCGATTCCACGGCTTCGTTTGTTTTATGAAAATGAATGATTTAAAAAATATTTTCGAAAAACGATGGTTTATATCGCTTGCAAAAATGAATGGACGAAAAGTACTTTCACTATCCAAGAAAATGTTTAGACATAAATTATTGTCAATAATGAAAAAAATTTCTATTTACTAATTATTTTGAGCGATATAAATGATTATTTTTAGAAAAATATTTTTTAAATTATTCATTATTCGCGAAACAAACAGAGCACAAGTCTCGGAGAAGGATTGCCCATCAGGGCCGTGGAAAAACATAAACAAAAAACTTTGTTTACAATAATTCAGATGGTACCAATGTTTGCTTTCAAGGGCACCTTTTACTGGTCCTTCTTACATGAAATGTTCTTCTGATTTTAACCAGATATTGATTCTTTGAAGCTTGGCCATTCTATTCCTTTCAGAATGGGCTCAACCTTTCTGTCCCAATACTTCTGGGCCTGTATTCTCCATAGCCGTTTTTGGGCCC